TGTGGTCGTAAGTCGAGGACTGCCTGTGCTTGTAAGGTTGGCTCTCTCCTGAAGGATCTTCCGTGTCGGTTTTGTTCTTCTTTAGAAAATGTCGGACCTGGAAGGACGTCTCCAGCAGGCCTTGTCCGCCCTCAGCCGGGAACAGCAGCTGGCCAGCCAGTACTACAGGGAGAAGGAGACCTTGGTAAGAGAGGGAGAGAGAGGGAGAGGGAGGGAGAGAGAAAGGGAGAGAGAAAGGAAGAAAGAAAGAAAGAAAGAAAGAAAGAAAGAAAGTGTGAGAGAGAAAGAAAGAGAAAGAGAGAATGAGAGAAAGAAAGAGAGAAAGAGAAAGAAAGAAAAAGAGAGAATGAGTGAAAGAGAGAGCGACAGAGAGAGAGAGAGAAAGAAAGAGAAAGAAAGAAAGATAGTGTCAGAGAGGAAAAGAGAAAGAGAGAAAGAAAGTGTGACAGAGAGAAAGAAGAGAATAAAAGTGAGAGAGAGAGAGAGCGACAGAAAGAGAGAAAGGGAGAGAGAAAGAGAAAGAAAGAGAGAAAGTGTGAGAGAATGAGAGAAAGAGAGAGAATGAGAGAAAGAGAGAAAGAAAGAATGAGAAAGTGTGAGAGAGAAAGAGAAAGAGAATGAGAGAGAATGAGAGAAAGAAAGAGTGAGAAAGAGCGCGACAGAGTGAGAGTGAGAGAGAGAGAGAAAGGGAGAGAGAGAGAGAGAGAGAATGAGAGAGGGAGAAAGGGAGAAAGAAAGAGTGTGAGAGAGAAAGGGAGAGAGAAGGTGGGGATTGGTTTTGAGGTTGACCTTGCATCAAAGGGGAGCCCTGACAGGGAGCGCCCACCCTTGCAATCTGTAAATCAGGGGGGTCTCCAAACCTGGCCCCTTTTAAGACTGGTGGACTTCAACTCCCAGAATCCCCCAACCAGCAAGGTTTCCCCAGAATTCCACGTGAATAGGACAAAGAACAAACGTTCTCGCCGTTTTTGATAGGGTAAATTTCTTAATAGACGGTGGGAAGGCCGTAAAAGATAATAGATCTTGATTTGAGCAAAGTGGGGGAAAAAAAAAAAAGCTGGCTGGAGCATTCTGGGAGTTGAAGTCCAACAAGCCTTTAAAAGCTGCACGGATTTGAAGACCCCTGTCGTAAACCCCACAGCTTCCCCAGCCCCGGATGGTTTATTCCGTTTATCCGCTGACGAAGAATAACCGATGACTATTAGCGGTATTAACCGGACGTTAATTCACTGATTTATTACTAAGCCGTGGGGCGGCCTGCCTCCGTAAGGTGGGGGGGCTGGACTAGAAGACCTCTAAGTCCCCTTCCAGCTCTGGATCTATTACATGATTCAGAGCAATGGCTTGCCTCCAGAAATCGTGGGCGCTCCAACGCTGGAGGTTTTTAAGAAGAAACCGGACAGTCACTTGTCTGAGATGGAATAGGTTCTCCTGCCTGAGCAGGGGGGCTGGACTAGAGGACCTCTAAGGCCCCTTCCAGCTTTAAATCTATGATTCTATTACAATCAGGGCAGTGGCTTGCCTCCAGAAGTCGTGGGCGCTCCATCCCTGGAGGTTTTTAAGAAGAGACCGGACAGTCACTTGTCTGAGATGGAATAGGTTCTCCTGCTTGAGCGGGGGGAGCTGGACTAGATGAGCTCTAAGGCCCCTTCCAGCTCTGGATCTTATGATTCTATTACAATCAGAGCAATGGCTTGTGGGTGCTCCAACACTGGAGGTTTTTAAGAAGAGACCGAACAGCCATTTGTCTGAAATGGCCTAGGGTCTCCTGCCTGAGCAGTGGGCTGGACTAGAAGACCTCCAGGGTCCCGTCCAGCGCTGTCATTCGGTAAACCAGGGTTAAACCCAAACCGAGAGCCAAGCATAAGGCTTGTGCCTGCAAAGCAGCTGCCCAAAGCTGAGCCTTATTTTATTTCCCACCCCCCCACCCCCCCCAGGAGAAGGAGAAGTCCAGCCTGTCCTGCAGCTTGGAGGCCGAGCGTATCCGGGCCCAGAGCCTGGAAGCCGAATGGGATTCGGACCGGCGCCGGCAGGACGCCCTGCGGGCCACCCTGGAGGAGCAGCAGAGGAGCTGGGCCCAGCGGGAGAAACAGCTGGAACAGCAGCGCCAGATGCTGCAGGAGGAGAGCCGGCTGCATCTGGAGAAGGAGAAGGTGAGGGCGGGGGGGGGTGGTGGTGTGTGTCTCTTCTCGGCCCGCCTAGCCTGGCTGGCGCGCCTCAGGGGATGCCCTGCGCAGCCAGAGGCTGGACTTGAACCCGGCCTGAGCTGTTGGCATCCTTGTTTGCAGAAGGGGTGGGGCGGGACACAGAGGTAGCCCCTTCTTAGGTTCACTTCCAGGTAGCCCCACCAACCTCTTGGTTCGGTGGTGAAGTGGAAGGTGACGTCCGACAGCTGTAAGAAGGCCAGCGTGAGCACTGATGGTGTTGCCTAGTTGGGTCATGAAAGGTCTGCAGGAAATTGACCA